CGTCGTCGTCGTCGTCGTCGTCGTCGTCGTCGTCGTCGTCGTCGTCGTCGTCGTCGTCGTCGTCGTCGTCGTCGTCGTCGTCGTCGTCGTCGTCGTCGTCGTCGTCGTCGTCGTCGTCGTCGTCGTCGTCGCGTCGCCGTCGTCGTCGTCGTCGTCGTCGTCGTCGTCGTCGTCGTCGTCGTCGTCGTCGTCGTGGTCGTTGTCGTCGTCGCTCTCGTCGTCGTCGTCGTCGACGTATTCGTTTTCGTCGTCGTTTTCGTCTTCCTCGTCGTCGTTCATTTCCACAGGCACCCGGAGCGCCCCGGATCGGCGGCACTGGCCGGAGGCCACTACAATAGGTCGATTCAGGAGTGGCTGACGGTTCTGGGCCGAAAGCTAATGCTCGAGCTGTTTTCCGTTCCTCGAGGTGCCGCGAGTTTGGGTGGTCAGGGTTTCCCGGTGTCCAAGAGCATCGATCTCAGGACGGGGTACGACCTCTCTACGGACTCCGGGTAGCGAGCTGGTTGATGAATTTGGAGCGAAATTAACCCGAGGTGGTCATCATGTCGCGCCTGTTCCTGCCGGTCTGAGGTGCTCGGAGGCCCAGCTGAAAGAAGATGTCCGAGGGTCGGGAGCGGCCAAGAGGCGGGTGTCCAAGAGGGGGGGGTGCAAATCATGACCGGCGGCATGTGCGCGGCCCAGCGGGGGGACCAGGGACGTAATGAAACAAGAACAGGCGCCATGAAATCTGGGGAAATATCATGGCCCACGACATGATATCCACCCCCCCCTAGTCATCACCCCCCTCTTTTCCGCCCCCGAGAGGGAAAGTTAAAGGAATCCGAGCAGGCCGGTCCTCGACGCATGGCGCCCCGCATGCGCGTTGTCGAGTTCCACTTGGCCAAACCAGGGGGGGGCATCCCGGAGCATCCCAGGGGGGCAAGCAAGTGGGAGCTCGCCTGCGTTCGGGAAGTCATGAGCAGGAAAGGGATAGCTTCGGGAGTGCCTAGGGGCCCCAGGACACACAAACAAACACACACACACAAATAAAAAGATTCCCCATAGGTTCTTATATGTTCTGGGTTTTTGTCTTCCCCCCCACTTCCCATATGTTCCCACATTTTCCTGGGAATCGACGATTCATTGTGTCTGTGTGCTTTTTCCCCTCCTGACTCGCCTGTGTCGGTACGGTCTTGCCGTCAAGGATGGAGAGCCTAATTTGAAGCCGAGTCGGTCCCTGACGAATCGGCCCTCGTTGCTCCGACTCCTCTTGCGCAAGTGGGGAGGCTAGCGCCGTTATCAGGGGGCCACATGCGAACCCCCTCAGAAATCGTGGGGGGTAGGGGTAGGGTTCGCATGTGGCCCAAAAGTTATCGTGAGCTGTGTGGCAAGCAATTTTATGACCCACGCCGCGGAAATCGACCCCCCTGAGCTCGTCGAGGCCATCAGAGAGGGAGTCCTGGAGTCTGCCTCCGCTCTCGGGCATCAGGAGGAATGCTCAGGAGACGTCGGGGACGTGTTCGAATACCTGTCGATCGAAGAAGGAGGGAGGGTGACCTGGGCCGCCCAGGACGCCGAGGACTCGGAATCTGAAAAGGAGCCGGTAACGACGACCCCTTGGGACCTTCCAAGGGAAAGCTAAGCGAAGCCCTCCGAGAGGAGGTCCTCAAGACTCACGCCAACCTTGGTCATCCTCCCAGGGACGCCTTTTTTGAAAATGCTCCGACTTGCTCACGCCAGGGCCGACGTTCTCGAGTTTGTGAAGCATGAGTTTCGTTGCGAGCAGTGCGACAATCACGCTAGACCCTCCTGGGGTCGCCGCGCGGCAATTCCCAGGACCTGCAGGGTCAACCGACTCGCAGCCGTGGCCGGTTTATTCATGAACATTCTCGGAAGTAAATTGACGCTTCTGAATGTTATGGAGCATGGGTCGGGGTTTCAGCAGTGCCATATGACACCTCCGAACGAGGCACTCAGCGCCGAGCACGTTTGGCCACCTTCGAGCGCTGCTGGTTGCGAATATTCGGTCCCCCAGAGGTTCTCATGAGTGAGGGAGGTCTACATTCCTTGGGGCGTCTGGGAGGGTCTGCGAGCACGTCGGACCTTTCGACACGTGTGCGACGCCACGAGTCCGTGGCAAAACGGCCAAGCCGGACGCCACTGACACCGTGTCAAGCCACCATGGCCAAGGCCGCCGAAGCAGTTCGCCCCACCTTCAGGAGCGAAAGAAGGACGTACACGTACATGACGTACGCGTACGTCCTTTCTGGGCTCCCTACACCTGTCTCTCTGAAGTCGAACTCCTACTCCACGAGACCGTGGCAAGCAAGAGCAGATGCTTCGAGCGTTCGTCCGGTCGCCGGAGGTCTTCGTGCCATGTGCGCGTGCGCGTGTGTGTGCCATTCCTCTTTCGCCCGCCTTCCGCGGCCGCCCTCCAGCCCCTTCTCCTCTCTTGCAGCCTGACAACTAATACAGTCGGGGCCCTGAAGAAGGAACCCTCTTCGTTGGGGAGGGGCTCCGCGTTCCTTAAGTGTTTCACAGCTTGCCTCAGGCTTCCCTTAGGTTCTCGATAGGAAATCGAAGTTTAACTTCTGGAAAAAAAAGGGGCCTCGTTCCATATTTAGGGTTCCTTAGGTCAACGCCCCGACTGTATCTGCCCGAGCCCGGCCTACTAGAGCGCGCGTGCGGATCGCCTCTGCCGCGCTGCGACGTCAAAAGTGCTGAATACCCTGCACTCGCTGCGGCTCAAGTCTGCAAGACCTCAGGAGGGAGAGGGCCCATCGCTCCCCGAGTCTCCTCTCTGGCGCCCCGCTCGTCCTCTCTCGATCCGATCGTGATCTCACAGGAAGCAAAGGCAGGCTGTCGCTGCGGCCGCTGGCCGCTGGCAGCTAGAGGCCTTCGGGGGCACCCACTCAGAGGGGGAGCTCGTCTTGCGCGCTCCCAACCGACATCTCCTCAAGTGTGTTCCCTCCTCCACCTCCCCCTGCTCCAGCTCCCCACCCTCCACTGCCCCCCCATTCCAGGGACCCCCCTTTCGAAAAAGGTACCCGCCCCGATCGGAAGGTATCGCGATGACTTGGATGATGAAGCCAGTGTCCAGCAAGAGCTTCTTTCTTGAAAAGGAAGCGCCTTCCAGATGTGTAGCTACTGCCCTGCTTCTGGTTCTGGGGCGTTACAAAAAATGAACAGCCTGCATCAAAGAAGAAACCAAATTCGAAAAGGGGCAACCCTCCACCCGAGTCACTGCTGCACTGCTTCATGCTTCGGCTCATCAAACCAGTGGGAGTCTCAAGCATGAAGCATATTGCAAAAACAAATTGCCCTCCATCCTTGTAGCTGTTGCGAGAAACCCAAGTCGAAAAGGACCCGCCCTCCATCTGCGCAACCATTGGCAACTCTTAAACACCGAATGTGCGCGCCGCTCACGCAAGGGGAGCATGTTGAAAAATGAACGGAACGCTGCCTCTTCTCTATCCGTGCAACTGCCTGGAATCAAGGCAAACATATGCGCGCGGTCTGAGACAGGAACTGCTTGTTGAGAACCGCCTCTCCCCCCCATCCGTATCACTGAACTGCTGGTGGCGTTCAAACCAAATGTGTAAGTCTCTAAGCCCGAGGCGAGAGCCACAGTTTGAAAACGGCACGCCCCCCATCGAAGACGGAACAACTGCATAAACATAAACTTGCGGAGCTCCGGGCGGATTTCTTGAATCTGCGCTGGGCCTCCCCTCCCTGGCGCGCGCCGAGCATGTCAGGGGCAGCGCCGAAGGCGCCGCCAAGGGGGGCCCATCGCCGATCCAAGAAATCCGCGCGGAGCCCTGGATGACTTATGTTTATCCTGTTGTTTTTCTTCGACTCCGTCTGTGCCAATGCTGAGCATGTCGAGCTTTCGGAGCATCAGGTGTGAGGATGTGTCACGCCAAACGCCCAGCCCTCCCTACCGACGCGTCTGCCTGTGCGGCGAGGAAGAGAGGGATTGAGGAACATGAGGAGCATAAGGAGGAGGAAGACGAGCCCGAGGATGATGACAAGTACAAAGAGGAGGATGGGGAGGACGAAGATAAGGAGGAGGAAGGGAGAGGCGGGGGAGTTTGGGCGGATGAGGAGAGGGAGGACAGGAGAATAGGACGACACTCACGCTTGTGTACTTCGAAGTCCTCCCTGCTACTTCATTCCGCCAATGAAAAGCCTGTGCACTGGACGCCCCCCCCAATGCGACAAGCATCCCGTCCTTGTCAGCGGAGGCCCTCATCACGTTTCCAATGTCTACTTGCAGGTCGCCGATAAAGCCACCTCGCACCGTAAGCGGTAGATGAAGCTCCTCAAAATTTTCCCATTGCACCTGCGTACGGATTGCAAGCCTCTGACGATCTGCCCGGCTCAAGGCGCCGCTAACGTAAGGCTGACAATTCTGTCAACTCGCAACCCAAAGATAGGAGGGGCACAACACATCTGCCATCCTCTACTGAAACACTCCAGTGTGGGGGTTCTCCAGCCACTTGGCATGGAACCACACCTCTTTTCCGTGGACCCTCATCGCGTAGCAGCAGACCCCCGACTCTCGACACCGAACTTGAGAGGGGGGAGGAGCAGCAGGAGGAGAGAGCGAGAGAAAGAAATAAAGAACAAAAAAAGACAAAAAAGGATAACAACAAGAAAAAACAATAAAGAATAAAGAAAGAAAGAACAACGACAAAAAAAGGAAAGGGGGAGAGGGGGAAAGAGGGCGGCGGAAGCAGATGTGGCCAACCCTCCCTCCCAGCCGCCCACACGCAGGGGTGACCCTAATTAGGCAAGAGTGGCCTTCGGTGTGCTGCTCTCGGGGGCCACGGGGCGGCCAGATCCAAGCGCGCCGGCCACTGCCGGGGGGGCACGCCTGCGGGCCAGCGCCAGTGGCAGCTCCTGCGCAGTGTCACTCCTTACGCGCAGCCGAGCCCAGCCACTTCCAGGGAAGCGCACATCGTCACCTGGCGGTGGGCGCACAGTCCAGTCACTTCCAGGAAAGCGCACATCATCGCCTGCTAGTGGGCGCAGAGAGACGCCTCCGGCCGCCCAAGCCACTCCCCCGAGAGGGCGCTCAGAGGAGCCAAAGGTTGCCGGGGGCGGCACCTCCGCGTCGCGCAGGCGCAGGAAGCCCTGGAGCGGGTCCAAGATGAGATCTTCCTCCGAGACCTTGACGAGGTCGCCGAGCACCTCTCAAGCTGGCGGCGCGTACCAAGGGGTGGTGCGAGGGGGGCGGCCGTCCAAGAAGGCGGGGGGGAGGGTCCTTCGAGGGCACAGGGCTTCTCGGAAGCAGCCGGGCCCTTCTGGAAGGCCCTTGCCGTCTTGGAAGCCCCTCGCCTTCATTATCAGGAGGCCGCCAATCTCGTCCGCCCCCCTTTGCGTGCGCCGCCAGGCCTTCTGCAAGACTTGGAAGGCCCTTGTCTGCATCTCTCGCTGCGCGGCCTTCAGCAGCCGGTTCTTCTGCTGGTGGGCCTTGACGCACGTGCGAAAAAAGCGTGCCATGCGGCCGAGCACGCGCAGCCAGCCCGTGGGGACAACTTCACCCGCGTGCTGCTCGAGGTAGGCAACGAGCGAGCAGAACACAACGACGCAGAGCTCGAAGACATTCATCGTGCGGCCGATGCCGAAGAAAAAGTTCCGGCCGTGCGCGATGATCCGGCTGATGATGTCCAGCCAGAGGATCGCCAGAATGGCGATTTCGAACCACAGGGGTGCCTGCGTCTGCGAGCTTCTGCTCAAATAAAACAGCGATACCACAATATCTACAAGAACCACCAGCACAACAAGACCCTGAAATGGCAACGACTCCTCCAAGTCGCGCAGCCATGATCGGCACGAAGAGATCTCTTCGTTCGTGCGATGCCTGCTAAGCTTGGCCCCAGCTCTGCGTCCCCGCGAGTCCGAGGTCAGATTGGAGCGATTGGAGGGGATCGAGGTCACGGCCTTCGAGACATTCAATGCATCGGAGCTCAAAGAGTGCATGCTGGAGAGCCGTGCTTTTCATCGCCCGTGCTGCTGGAATCTGGCCCTGCACCATCACTGCGAGAACCGCGCCAGGCCTCAGCACCAGCAGGAATCGTAAGGATGTCTTACGGATTTCTGTACCGCATCCAGGAACATCTCCATCATCATCATCATCATCATCATCATCATCATCATCATCATCATCATCATCATCATCAGCATCAGCATCAGCATCATCATCATCATCATCATCATCATCCTCATCATTATCATCAGCATCAGCATCAGCATCAGAATCATCATCATCATCATCATCATCATCAGCATCATCATCATCATCATCATCATCATCATCATCATCATCATCATCATCATCATCATCATCATCATCATCTTCATCATCGTCATCATCTTCATCATTGTGCTGCGGTCTCCGGGAAATTGTTTATTATCCCCCCTGGACCCCGAACCTTCTTATATCCCAAGGGGGGTAATTTCAGGAGCACAGGGATACCCCATCCAACCATCGATTCTCCCGAATCGATGGGAGGCGGGGGTAGGGTTCGGACTTCGCCGCGTGCTCGACGAGTTCCGAATGCTACCTCTGCCGCCCATCGAAAAATGCCTGACTCGTGGATCGGCGAGGGTAGGTAAGGTTCGGACTTCGCCGCCGAGCGAGGAAAGAGAGAAAGCCGCCCGAAGACGCTTCGGGTCGGCGACTCTGGAGGGTGTGATTTGCCAAGGTTGTGGTTTGCAACCGGCACCCTGGTGGGCACCATGGGGGGCGGGCGAGGACCTCGACAGAGCTCTCCGCTGCGCCCCGAGGAGGTCCGACGAGGACAGCGTCACGCTCCCCGGGCCCCAACGGTGCCGATCGCAAACCACGCCCCGGCGTAACCACACCCTTGTGGCCGCCACGGCCTTCCCTGACGGATCGCCCAGTGGGCAAGGAGCCCGGAGGCGCTGCGCGGCCCGATGGCACAGCAGAGCAGCAGGGGCCCGTTGTTTCCCTGCCATTCGCGATACAGTCGGGGCGTTGACCTAAGGAACCCTAGATGGGGAACGAGGCCCCTGTTTTCCATGCGTTGAACTTCGATTTCCCATCGAAAACATCAGGAAAACCTGAGGCAAAGCTGTGAAACACTTAAGGAACGCGGAGCCCCTCCCCAACGAAAAGGGTTCCTTCTTCAGGGCCCCGACTGTACCACCCGTGACCGCCCCCAGCCCCCCCGCCCGCCTCCCCCCCCGCTGCCACCCCTGACCCTCCATCGGCGGCGAGCCCGGAGGGGAAGTGAGAGGGAGCGGGCCTTCTGGGAAGGCTCGGAGGTCCCCCGGCCTTCGGAGAGGTTTCCTGAGCCTTCCCCGGAGACGCCAGAAACTTCTCAGAAGGCCAGGGGGCTTCTGAGAAGCCCCGTCACCTTCTGAGAAGGCCTTATCCTTCTCACCTTCCCCCCCTCGCTCGCGGCCGACTCCAAGGGGGCTAAAAAATGGCACCAGGTGCTCGACGTCTAACTTCCAGCCGCGACTTTCTGGGCAGTTCAGACAGGTCTGTCCTAGGAGACCTATTTTACGACACTCGGGAAGGTCCCTTCGCGAGCGCCAAACGGCACTACCCAAGAAGATTGCAGCGCTGCCCGGAAACGACCCATTGAGGCGTTCAGCGTGCCAGCCTGGCACGGACACGCCTAGAAGCATGGGCAGGCCTAAACCGCACAGGGCCCCTTGCGCTTTTGCGCTTCTTCCCGGGGCATTGAATCTTAGCGTGATCTCTCTGCTGTTCCTCCCCTCCTCCCTGTCCTCATTCCCCCGCCTGTTCTCCCCCTCCTCCGCAGGGTGGCGCCACTACCTGCAACCGATTCTTATTCGCCTATGCGCCGTATGAGCGCCGGGCTTGCCTGACTGGGAGGTCAGGGCTCCCCCCCTGATCACATCACGATTCGCGCCATCGACCAGCCATCCCCGGGCACTCCCCAGAGGACACTGGCGCGAATCGTGGAGCGACTGGCCCCCTCACCCCCTCCTCCCAACCACTCATGTCACGCTGGTTATCGCCAGGGGATAGGCGCACGGTCTCCTGGCCGAGTCGACTCGTGGGTGCTCCGAAATAGTTGTCTACAGGCTTCCAGAACGGCGCACTCTCGGCAAGACTTAAGTCGGGCCCGTCCCCCTGCAGGGGGATTTTGAACGAAAATTTAAAAAATTGAATCATACCCCAAAATGGTAAACAAATACTCTATACATAGTCCCCTGAATATTTTTTAACTATTTTGGAATACTCCTCCTGTAGAGGGGACACGCCCGACTTCAGGCAAGGCCGAAGCACGGGCCTCGGCGGTGGGGGAAAGCCCACCGCAGGCGTGTGGGCCTCCGGAGGCCCCCCATCCCCCCCCCCGCACGCCCCAGGAAGGGCCAGGACGCCCAGGCGCGCCTCGCTTCTCGGTCGCTCCCCCCCTCCCCCGGTCCCCTCCCCCTCCCCCGGTCCCCTCCCCCTCCCAGGAAGGACCAAGACGTCCAAGCGTCGCTGCCCCCTCCCCCTCCCCCTCCCGGCGGTGGTGGCCGCCTGGGTGCGGAACTGGTAAGCTCAGGTCGGGCGCGTCCCCCTACAGGGGGATCTCCGACGAAAACTAACAAACACAAGCAAAAATACGCCACAATGGTCAAAAAATACTCTGAAAGTAGTCCCGTGATTATTTTTTGACTAATTTTGAGTCTTCCCCCTGTGGAGGGACAAGCCCGATTTAGTGGTAAGCCCGCACGCAGGGAGCGGACATGGGCAGGGGGCCGGACGCGGGCGTCAGGCGCCATCGCCACCTCGCAGTGAGGCAGGCGCGGTCCCAGGAGAAGTCCTGCCTGTGGAAGCCCTGATGCACAACACGCAACCCTGAGCGCATTGGCACACGGCTCAACATGCACATTCAAAGCGTGCGTGTGGCCGCAGACACTCGCCAAAACGTAGGCCCACACTTGGAACCGAAGCGCCACGTCTCGACCAAGTACGCTTGGAACACGGAGCGCGCTGCGTTTGAACCTGGACGCCTCAGGGCAGCGAAGGCCCCGCCTGCTCGCTTCCGGCTCGCCCCGCGCGGAGGCACCCTGGACCACTGGAGTCCGATTGGGCAGGGACCGACCGTCCCGGCAATCCTATAGTCCTACCACGAAATTTTCTTAGAAGCCAGAAATATTCGAATCACAAACACAATGTTCTTGGAACAGATACCCGATGCGTTACAACAGGACAGACTCCGCCAGAAATGCTCTGAGAACAGTTCGTGGAAACCACCACCAAAGAGGTTCTTAGAACCTTCCTTGGTGGGGCCACAGGCGAGCCAGGACGCTTCGCCACTGCTTCATCCGAGGGTCCGAGGGTGCGCCGCTGGGTAACCCCAAGGGGGGGGGGGAGCTCCCCCCCCACCCCCTTGGAAGGGGGGGAGGGGGGGGGGGGGCGCACTTTCCGAGGGTCCGAGCTCCCACGCACGAGGGCGCGGCGACCTTCCGCGGCGGCCCTCGCAGGCCGCGAGCGCGGCACGCCGCCGTGGAGCCGGGCGCGCCCGCGGGCGCGAAATCCCACGCGGGCAGCTCGCGCGCTGAGGGCCGCGCCGTCGACCACCCGGCTCCCGACTTCGCTCGGGGGTGCTCCTCCTCCTCCTCCTCCTCCTCCTCCTCCTCCTCCTCCTCCTCCTCCTCCTCCTCCTCCTCCTCCTCCTCCTCCTCCGTCTCCTCCTCCTCCTCCTCCTCCTCCTCCGCTGCCAGTCGTCTGAAGGGCGAGGGCAGGGGCACGTGGGACCCCCCGCCCTGGCACTCGCGAGCTCCTTCTGGGCCAGCGCGCCCGCGAGGCCTCCACCCCTCGCACGCACAGGCCGGGGCGGCGGCGTGCGCCGTCCAGCACACCACCGCGCTCCCAACTGCTCTTGCGGCTGCAGCCGGCGGGACTCCCAGCGCGGGCCTGCTGCGCCCCGCTGGGGAGCGGCGTGCTGGAGTCCGTCTGCGGGGCTCCGCCCGGAACCTCGCCTTTGCAGTTTTCGCATCCGCTCTTGTCCCCCCTCCTGCTCCGAAACGTCATGGCAATCACTCCTGGGGTTCTCCTGGGGGGGCCCCGCATTCCACTGGCCCCCGCGGGCTAGGCGCATGTTGCCCAGTAGAACCATGCGCACAAGGCGTGACGTGAACCACCCAAAGGGTTTCAAAAGTCGCCCAAACGCCCAACTTGACCCCCAAGTGACCCAGAGGTACCCAGAAGCCCCCCACAAGCCTTCCACCAGGCCTCTTGGGACCCTCCTGACGCCTTGGGCCCGCTGGAAGCCCCTATGGGCGTGCACTGTACCATCCCGGCCCTCCGGATCAGGTTCGACGAGCGGTTTCACGCCGAGACTGTGAACAAGCCAAACGCATTGAAACCACACCTCTTTTACAACGATTCACACTTCTTGGACCGCCTAACGAAGGCCATCCTGGGACACAATGAGCCTCTGTGGCCACTGCGTGCCGTCGGAGACCGCTGGAGCCAGCGGGGACGACTTTGGAGGCCCTCTGGGGCATCCTGGAGACTTCTGGGAGTCTCTGAAGGCCGCCTGCAAACCCGCCAGCCGCCCTAAGATTAAGTCGGGCCCGTCCCTCTACAGGAGGAATGTTCAAAAATAGTCCAAAAAAATATCCCAGTGCGACCCTACCTAGGAGTTGGAGCCTCTAGGAAACAAACATTAGTAGGAGCGGTAAACGCCATCCTCCTCCTTCTCCTCATCGTCGTAGTTGTAGCAGTAGCGGTAGTAGTGGTAGTAGTGGTGGTAGTAGTAGTCATAGTCGTAGTCGTAGTCGTAGTCGCAGTCGTAGTCGTAGTCGTAGTAGTAGTAGTAATAGTAGTAGTAGTAGTAGTAGTAGTAGTAGTAGTAGTAGTAGCAGCAGCAGTAGTAGTAGTAATAGTTGTAGTAGTAGTAGTAGTAGTAGTAGTAGTAGTAGTAGTAGTAGTAGTAGTAGTAGTAGTAGTAGTAGTAGTGGTAGTAGCAGTAGTAATAGTAGTAGTAGTAGTAGTAGTAGTAGTAGTAGTAGTAGTAGTAGTAGCAGTAGTAGTAGTAGTAGTAGTAGTAGCAGCAGCAGTAGTAGTAGTAGTTGTTGTTGTTATTGTAGTAGTATTGTATTGTATTGTAGTAGTAGTAGTAGTAGTAGTAGTAGTAGTAGTAGTAGTAGTAGTAGTAGCAGCAGCAGCAGCAGCAGCAGCAGCGCCGGAACCGCCGACGCCACGCCGTAAGTGAAGCAGCAGTAGAAGGAGGCAGCAAGTCGCCAAGACAGCAGCAAAAGCAAGCAGGCACGGAGATAAGGGCGGGGCCCTTGGGAGTTCTTTACATCTGAATACATATATATATATATATACAGATATATCTACACCTACATCTACATCGACACCTACATCTACATCTAGACCTACATCTACATCTACAGCTACATATACATCTATATCTGCATCTACATCTACATCTACAACAACAGCGAGACTCACATCTACATCTACATCTACACCTACATCTACACCTACATCTACATTTACATCTACATCTACACCTACATCCACATCTACACCTACACCTACATCTACATCTACATATACACTTTCGCATTGGTGCTGCTTTTGCTTTGCATTGCCTTTGCTGTTGCTCTTGCCTTTTGCCTTTGTCTTTGCCGTTGCATGGAACATACGTGCGCACACACATATAAGTACATAGATACATAGCAGCAGCAATCGTGGATGCTGTGCTGCGCTATGCTATGTTTTGATATGCTATGCTATGCTATGATATGGTATGATATGCGATGTTATGCTATGCTATGCTATGCTGCGCAATGCTATGCTGGGCTAGGCTAGGCTAGGCTAGGCTAGGCTGTGCTATGCCATGCTATGCTATGCTATGATATGCTGCGCTATGCTATGCTATGCTATGCTATGCTATGTTTTTGCTTTGCCTTCGCTGTTGCCTTCGCTTTTGCTTGTGCTGTTGCTTTTGCTTGGCACCCAGGGAGCGCAGCTGGGGGAAACGCCCGGGGCGGGTAGCACTGCCCGGCCCCTTTAAGCAAACCGAGTAAGAACCCTTCTAGGCAGAGCTAGGTAGAGACCATTTGGGAATATGCTTTGAATGTTTAAGTATCGTCCAAAATCCCCCTGTAGGGGGACACGCCCGACTTAACCCTAAGAGGATCCAGGAGGGCCCCAAACCTGACCTCGACTCCTCCTTCGCCAGCCTGCGCACCTCCCTTCCTGCCTCTGCCCCCCCCCCCCCCCCCCCCTAAGTGCGCCTCCACGAAACCCCGAGACGCCCCCCGCGAGGCCCTTATGAGGCTCCCCAGAAGCGCACACAGGCCCTGACAGGAGCAACCCAGCAGGCCCACAAAGAAGCTTCCCAAAACTTCCGAATATGACGCCGCCCACCTGATAACAACGATCACTGGACAAACCAGGAGGCGGCGGCGGCTGCCCAAGTACCAGGAATCGCCCCAGCATGCATCCGCTCACAGGTGGTCGGGGGGAACCCTCCCGGGCACCATCCCGACGAGCTCTCTCGAGCCGCACGCCTGGCCCCGGCAACGAGGGGACGCTTCTGGCGCGTGCCCCCCCACACGCCACAAGAAAGTGAGGAGAGCTACGGAGGGTTCCTGCCTGGACGACGCGGGCCCTGGCTCCCTGACGCCGCGTGCACGCACTCGAGAAGGCACCCGCGGAAGGCATGCAGCCTGGAGCGCCCAGGCCGGAGTCCCTGCCTGTCGCCGCGGCGTCGAGGCAGCGCGAGCCTGCCGTGGGCTCCTCGCCACACGGCAGGGAGGCCGAGGGGGTGGGGAGGGGGGATTACCAGCCTGGAACATATCCTTATCCCTATGTTGGGCATCGCCTCATCACGATGGCGATCTTAGGGAATCCCTCCGTTTCCGAGGGTGCACCCCTAAGATGTTCATCGCCTTTTGGCGTGTCAATCTTAGGGATATGGATAAGTTCGAGGCTGGTGAGGGGAGGTCGCGAGCGTCCAGCGCGCTCGACGCTCGGCCTCAGAAGTCCCCACCCCAGCTGGCCCACCCTGCTCGAGCGGCGAGCGCAGGCCTCCTCTGTGGCGCCAGCTCGTGCGGCAGGGGACTCCACGGATTCCAGGGGGGCGACGATGGGTTCCGAAAGCCACCCGGCCCGTTCGTGCTGCTGCCGATGCCGCGCATCGCTGCCCCCGAGTGTGGCCTCTGCTCCAGCGATGACGGCTCGGTCGACGCACGACCAGCACCCTCGATCAAGTTTTACTGCCTACCCAGCCCAGGCCCATGGTGGGGAGCGGGCTGGAACGGCGTGAGCAGGAAAGTGTCATCCGTGGGAGAGGGGGGGCGATTTGGGGTGCTATCTGCTTCGTTCTGAACTTACTCAACAAAGAGATCAAGGGCAACAGCTGGTGGCAAACTTGCCAGGTGAAGAAAGAACAAGAGCCCGCGCGCGCGCACAAGCGCGTAAGCGGTCGAGCGAGCACTGGCGCGTCCACAAAACTCAGACTCGCGTACACTTACTGAAACACCGGATCCTCGAAGTCGCGATGCTGGCTGTCATACTGCTATGGTCTGGCAGGAGCGACTTGATGTAGCCGTCCCCTCACCTGGGGTAGTACGAGGACAAAGGACGAAAATCGGGTGAGAAAAAAGCGGGAATCTCTGAGAACCAAGGCTCTGGAGGATGCCTCGGGCGCCGCGGCCTGCTCAGAGCGTTCCAGAACGCTCTGCGAGCGTTCCAGACGCTCTGGAACGGATTTATCCTCGGCCTAGATTCTAAACACATGCCGTAGGGCGGTGTAAGCTCCTGGCTTCTGGCTGCTGGCGACATGTCGGCGGCACGAACACAAAGCTATACACAAGAACCATGAAAGATGGACACCACATCCTGCCAGTCGCCGCCACCCTCCGCCCTCGGACGACGCACATCGTATTGAGTAGCTGCGATACCCACCCTGCTCAACTGCCTCATGTATCAACGACGCACGTGCTTCGTACGAGATAGCACACGGAAACCAAGAACCCCATCAACTGGCTGCACCGTGAACTGCCGCAAACAAGTGCTTCGCTGTGCTTTGCTGACATTTGAGTGCAGACGGCGTGACAGATTGGAATGCGAGATGTAGTGGCCTTCAACTGGCACCCGATAGACTTAACCAACCCGCACATATAAACTGCATAGCGTGGCAAACCACATTCGACATGAGTTCGGCTGCGAGCAGCATTCTCAGGGTGATGCGCATTGCCGGCTGCAGTGACACCACCAGCGCTGTCTGAAAAAAACGTGCACGAATCAGTCTATACGACCGACTGCCATGTGCCAAGGCTACCGACATGTCAAGCACGCAAAAGTACCCCATGCCAGAGAGCTGACGCACGCACGAGGTCAAGGGTCGTTCACCTTCTGGAGTTAATATGAATATCCTCGAGCTGACCGTCTGCAGAAGCAGAGTTACTTACTCGAGGAGCTCCCTGAGAAGGTTAACCTGCCCAACCCACGACGCTCTGGGCCGCTCTTGTGACCAGGGACTCGAGACGGTCAAACGGCAAGACGGACCAACAATGGAGGGCGGGCTGGGATAATCACCACAACAGAGAAGCAATAATCATATGGAAGGGCATGTACCCGATAAAGAGCTCGAGAAGAAGTGTTGGATGCAGGCAGAAAGCTTGAAAGAGATAACCAGAATGAGAGACGCATTGCATGCCAGTGACCCCGCGGGCGATTAGTGCAGCGCATTGCTGTCACATGCTCCTGACAGAAGAGTGCTGGGGAAACCCCAAGAACAGGTACCCTTCGGAACCAGACCAGCAGACTGAGCGCTCTGTCACCAACGGCGCGCCATCATTAGGATAGACAGCATGTGGCTTCAGACTCGCTGCCCGTCTTGAACCGCAGCAGCACGCGCTTCGAAGAATCACCAGTGGAGCTGCATCAGATGTGCGCAGGCACAAACGCCATGAGCGGGTGCAAGCGGCGGAAGCTCGGCGCGGAAACGCAGCTTGCATGCCCAGGCGCACATAATTAGCCATTGCATCACCGCCACTGATGGGCCCTCATCCGCAGAACTGCTTCCGCGGGGCTGGCCCCGATCGCTGCAGCACGCGGAGCTGGACTCTACAAGAGCACCCGAACAGGCGTCTGGTCACCCGCTGCCGTGGCCGGCGCCGAGGCGAGAGCGCGGCTCTGGATTCCGAAGGTAGCCATGGCTGGCACGAGAACGAGGTTGCAAGCGAAGAGTGTAGCGAAGGCCATCGTGTTGAGATAGGAAAGCAGCCAGCGCTGGCGAAGAGCACGACTCTGCGCCGTGCACGTGGCCAGAAGTAGGGAGAGGGCCGTGATCCGATGTTCGAGTAGAACTGGCGTAGCAGCGAGGGCACGATCTGGGATGAACGATGTTGCCAGCGCTGGGGTGAGAGCACGATTCTGAACCCCGAGCGTACAGAGCTAAGTAAAGCGAGTGCACGGTTCTCATGCGCGAACTTACACCTGGGTTGAAGCGAGAGCACGAAAAAGACCTGTTGTTTGGGGGGGCTCCGAATTCGGCCAGCGCTCAAGCGGCACCGCGATTCTGAATCACGATTGTGTCGTGGCCAACGCTCAGAGGAGGGCACACAGCCCAGTCTCGAAACGCGGCCCCAGAGCTCGGGCGGGAGCGCGATTCTTACCCATAGCAAATCACGAACGTGTCCACCACAATCTCGCGAACGCGATTCTGAATCACGAAAGTGGAAGGGGCCTCGGCGAGAGCGCGATTCTGGCCCACCAACGAAACCAGCGGTTATGGCGAGAACAGGACTCAGCAACACGAGCATTGCGGCATGGAGTCTCGCGAGAGCATGATTCATTTTGCCTGGGGGGCGCAGACCCAAAGATCTCTTCGAGCTCGAAAACTCATCAACGGTGCCATGACCGAAAAAAGGCCGGCCCAAAAGACTGCAAACGAGTGCGGAATAAAATTAGCACGGGCCCAAGGTTCCAACTGTTTCCCCCCAAGCGGTGCTTCCACCTGGGGGTTCGTACAATCAAAAACCCTAATAAGGACGCGCGGCAAGGACGCAAGACCCTTGGAAGCCTAAGTTGGGATTTGTGGGGCGGCGGACGACGAAAACCTCAAGGACGCAAGAGCAAGGAAGAGCAAGGACGCAAGGGTTCCCTGAGCAAAGCCGCGCGTCCTTCTTAGGGCTTTTGACTGTAAAATCAGTACGGGCCCAAGGTTCCAACTTTATGTGTATATATATATATATACACACACTATGTGTCATGTTATGTTTTTTTGTTTTCTTGCCCAAAGTTCCAACTGTTTCCCCCCCAAGCGGTGCCTCCGCTTGGGGGCTCTTCTCTGCGCTGCCCGGCTGGTGGCCGCCCTTTGGGCGCACCGTGCGCCGGGGTGTACGTGCGTTGGGGCTTCGCCCGGTGCCCGCCCGGTGCCCGCCCGTGGGGCACCTCCTCCTCCTCCTCCTCATCCTCCTCCTCATCCTCCTCCTCCTCCTGCTCCTTCTTCTCCTCCCTCCTCCTCCTCCTCCTCCTCCTCCTCCTCCTCCTCCTCCTCCTCCTCCTCCTCCTCCTCCTCCTCCTCCTCCTCCTCCTCCTCCTCCTCCTCCTCCTCCTCCTCCCCCCCCCCCCCCTGCCCGCCCGGTGCCCGCCCGGTGCCCGCCCGTGGGCGCCTCGTGACCGCCCCCCTGCGCTGGGCTTGCCGTCGCTCGGACGTCCATGTCCCGTGCATGTTTCGATGTCGTGCGTGCTTCTTTTTGCTCGATGGTCCAGGATGGTCCTCGATGGTTCTCGCCGAGAAAAAATTCACACGTCCGAGCGATGCCAAGGTGACCGCCCCCGTGCGCTGGGTGCACCACGCAGCTGGCACCCAAATGGTTATGTTTTTGCGTGCTGGACAAGCAACTCCGAACGATTTCGAAGAGTTAGGGTGTCCAAAGTACTCTTTACAACCTGAAGTAAGGGTGGACCATCTGAGCGGAGGAGGAGCTCTACTCATGCACTGCACCACGCAGCTTGCAACGCAGAGCCTGCACCAAAGCATACTGCACCACGTCGGTTGCCCCCCGTGGCCTGCACCACCAAGAGGAAACCCCACACTGCTTTCACCACGTGGACCACACAGCACGCACTGCACCACATAGCTTGCACCACAGCACTTGCGCCACAGCTCGCACCACGCCCATTCCTTTTCCCAAAAAACTACTACACTCCCTCGACGAGGTCAGAATTAATCGCTCCTCTCCGCATGCCGTCCATGTTTTTGATATGTATTAAGCACCATCGCTCGTCCGAGTTAACACATACCAGCACGTTAGCCAGTCCACCCCTCTTATCCATGACAACTTCGCCAGCACCACGGGCCAGAGGCGTGCTAAACTCCCTGGTGAGAGCTCTAGAATAATTCTGGTTTGCGCGTGCGGGACGGCAACTGGAAGCGCATGGACGAAAAGTACCCCACGAAGGTCCCGGAAACTCTGTGTCAGGTATGTTTTCCCTTCTGGGCGTGGTCTTCGAGGCTCCCAAAGGCGCTCCAAAAGACGCAGGGCGCGTCCCGTGTCGCGTCCCGTGGCACGTCCCCTAGCACGTCCCCTGGCACGTCCCATGGTACCCTCTTCGCGCGTCCACTGGGAGCGTGCCTGCCACGTCCCCCGGCACGTCCCCTGAGATGTCCCCTGGCACGTCCCTTGGCTCGCACGTCCCGAGGCGCGCCCCGTCTGGGTCACTGAGACCTCCCAGAACAGGCCTGCTCGTGCCTCAGAATCGCAAGGCTTGCTGGTGCGCGACCATGACAAGATCCGGATGCCGCGCGGCGGGGGGCTGGGCAGGAGGCGGAGGAGGGGAAGGGGGGGGGGAAGAAGAGGGCAGCGACGACGCCGACGACGACATTAAGGAGACAGCAAACAATTATGATCTGATCTATATCAAGTTCTGTGTTCGGGGCGGTTCGTTCACGTCATTGCTTATGTACGGCCCCATGCAAACTCTCGGCCATGTCCCCGGTCCCACATTCGAAGTGGCCATCGGACGTCCTCTGGGTGCGGGCCCATTCGTGGCTGGAACATGCATCCTGGGTGTGCCCACTTGAAGATGGCGGCAGATAATTGAGAAATCTGGAAGCCCCCCCAGATAAACCAAAGCGCTGTGGATAGAACCCTCTGCAGATAGCCAAGTCCGGAAGCAGAAATACCGTGCGGACAAAAAACGCTCAAGGGCGCACCCAAGCATCTGCAGTGGGCACTCTAGGCGGGGCTGGTCGGCGATGTTCGGCTAGGACCCGATGGGCGGGGCCCTGCGCCTCGGACCCTATGCCCCCCCCCTATTCCTTTGCCCTTCTCCCTCCTCCCTCGTCTACATCATTTCCTCCCTCCTCCCTCCTCTGCCCGCCTTCATTTGACACCGCGCCTCCCTCCACCCCCTCCGTCTCCCACTACCCCTTACTCCCTCGCCCTCCCCTCCTCTCCTCCCCAGAGTGCGTCCCTCTTCCAGCACTCCTTCCACCTTCCTCCCTCCTGGTTCCTCCCGCCTCCTTCACTCCCCTCTCCAAAGGCAGGCTCTGGCGAAGC